GGGTCATGTGAGTTTATAGTGTTGTGACACTAAAAATAGTGTGTCATTAATTTGAGATGATCAACAAGGGGAAATTTAAAAAATAAAAAAAATAAACCAGCAGTAATGAATACTTTTGACCATCAAAATCACCAAACCAATTTGGGCTGCATGTATATATTTGACTATTTCTATAGTATTTTTGTCCTACTGTATATAGTGGGACGATTTGGTGGACTTTTTTATATTATGAAATTTACCTGGGACGATTTGGTAGACAATGTAAAGAGCATATAGAAAAAATAAAAAAAATTTTTTTTTCAAGGAAAATTGGTTTTTATAAATACAAAGTATTGTTAAGGATATCATCTCTAAAAAAAAAATTATTACTAAAAAAAATGATATATTTTACTATATGGTGAATTTAATCTACTTTTTGCATCGTACTATGTTAAAAAAAATGGATCAGCACTAATGTTCAATTTTGGTGGTAGAAAGTAGAAATTAATTATGACACTCACCATTAAAAACATAAGTGTAACACCCCTTTATGACAGTGTCAAAATACTTTGGGCTGCAACGATTATGTGCAAGAACACATCAAAAAATTTTCACTAAACTTCATAAAAATTTTAGGATATGTAGAATTTTTCACTGTGAACAACTTTATTTAATATAAAAAGATCGATTTACTTAATAAAAACTTAGCAAAAATAATGTTTCATTGTACCACCATTACTTTCGCCGGGGACTGTACTTGTAGTTCAGGATGAATGTATATTCTATTCAAATGATGGTAAATGTGGAGTGTGGACTAAAGATGGAGAAATGCCATTGTGAAAATGCAAACACACAAGTTTGTATGATACATTGAACTTCAAATGTTTTGATTAACAGGAAAAAAAAACCCCCATGTGTAAGCTCATTGAATCCTGACAAATTTAAGATTCTTGGATACTTTATGCAAAATGAAATGAATATAAATGCTTTTGTTTTTTCCCTAAGTGAAAATAAGAATTTTTTTTCCTAATTCTTAGAAAATAATGACAATATAACAAAATCATGCCCAAATACATTATGAATAAATTTTTGATTCTTTTCATATTGGTTGTTTTCTTGGTTAATATTATCTTTATATAAAGCACTTATATGTATATATTAATTTATTTTTATATTAATTTAACAAATCCCTAATATTTAATATTCCTTACAAAACCATAGCTGTTCCAGCTAACTATGGTGCTTGGGGAATTTGTGCTTCTGATCCAACTATTTTTGGTGGTAATTTTATTAATTAAACAAGATTTCTATTTATTTCCATAGCTCTAACAAATAAGATGACTTCTACAGCTTATAGTATAAGACTTACACCACCTTCATCTGAACTCTCAGTCAGTTATGGTTCAACTCTTTCTGGGAATCAGGCAGCAACACTCACATCACTGGCATTTATATCTGCCTTATTAAATCCAACTACCAATTCAGTTGTTGGTAATTCTCAATGTGGAGGCAGTGGGTATATTTGTTTAGCTGCCAACAGTAGAAATACTCTAACTTCAGGTGCTAAACTTTGTGTAGCCATTGCCAATCCTACAACTAGGGATGTTGTTCTTAATGTCATTGCTGTTTCAGTGCTGATCGATTCATCATTAATGGTGTTAATGGGAATCCAGAAGAAACCTTTAATTTGACTATATCTTCTATGTACCCTCCCTGATACTAATTATCAACAACCTTTTAACTCTATATATTATATTTATAGCAATTAATATTAATAATACTATTTGTTTTAATTTATGACCTTTAATTCCTTTGAATGATGATGAGACATTAAAAGTGTTTCTTGATATACATGTTCTTTCACCCACTTTGATTCATTAATATGTGTTTGTCCATTTATCATAAAAATTTTCTCTGTTATCACCACTTTTTATCTCTGAAATACACTTTGAACCATGTGATGTGGTTAATGCAGCACAACAGCAAAGGGTGATGTGTTATTTACCAAACAGAACTGGTTTGGCAGCACAAGAAACATAGAAACCACAATGTTGCAAAAAAAAAAGCTTAAAGTGAGTTGATGTAATATGGTATAGGAATAAGGAAAATTCTCAAAAATACTATTAAAAAAAAGGAACATATCAAATTTTTTTTTACTTGTGATATGAAATATGTGATTATATAGTTATTAGAATCCATTGTTCACATTCAAATATCCAACCCATAAAAGAGGAAAATCTCCTTAAAGAAGAGGTTCTGCTAGAAAATTCTTTTGAGAAATAAAAACAATAATTTTTATGTTTCAATTACAAAGACATTCACTAATATTATAAATGATAATTCTTCATCATTCAATTCCATAATAAACCATAATTTCTTTCTTCATCTCCCTCCACCTTGCTTGTATGTTTTCATGTGATCTACATATACCTCTTCTTCTTAAGAATATACAATTTATTTTCTTTCTAATACACTTTTAAGCAAGAGCAAATGTTCATATCCACTCCAAGGCCCCAACCGTTCATTAATAACCACCAATTCATCATAAATAAGTATTGAATCTCCATCTTCATCATGTATTGAATCAGTATTGGGCACACAAGCAACAGTAGTACCACAAGCAAATTCTCCCAGAAAATTTGCATCATGATTTTCTTCACTATTAATTAAAGTTGCATTTGATACACTTATTAGATTATTATTAAGCATGTTATAAGAGTTCTCATCATTATTATGGACAGTGCCATTGTCAAATGAAATATCTGTATTTGATATATTAATATTGTTATTATTGTTATTGTTTTTAATTACTAAAAGTGTGGTTGAGGATTCTTCTACAGAAAAATCAGAGTCTTTGTGAATGTTTGTTTGACCAAATGTACGTTGTGATGATGATGATGATGATGATGATGATGATGATGATGATGGTGATGATTCTCCATTATTACACAGTTCAGTCCCAACACTATCAACATATATTGTAGTAAGATAAAATAATTAAAGTATTTCTTTTTAAAAAAAAATAATAAACTTACTTTATTATTGATAGTGATGGTAAATTGGCATTGATGATCTCTATATCTTCGTTCCCACCATTCTCTTCCTTGAATATATTTTTTATTAAAAAAAAAATTAGATTATGATGCCATAAACTTTATTGATAATTAATAAAACAATAGATGACAATGAAAGATACTTCATAAATAATCTTTAATAATTCAAAGACTTCCATAGGTTTTAATGGCGCCACAACTTCCTGTATATTGTTTTTTATCTCTTGAAACAAGGCATTTAAATCAATATATTGACTATACATGCAGCCCAAATTGGTTTGGTAATTTTGATGGTAGAAAGTAGAAATTAATTATGGCATTCACTATTAAAAACATAAGTGTAACACCCCTTTACTACACGTGTAACCCCCTTTATGACAGTGTCAAAATACTTTGGGCTGCATGTATATATTTGACTATTTCTATAGTATTTTTGTCCTACTGTATATAGTGGGACGATTTGGTGGACTTTTTTATATTATGAAATTTACCTGGGACGATTTGGTAGACAATGTAAAGAGCATATAGAAAAAATAAAAAAAATTTTTTTTTCAAGGAAAATTGGTTTTTATAAATACAAAGTATTGTTAAGGATATCATCTCTAAAAAAAAAAATTATTACTAAAAAAAATGATATATTTTACTATATGGTGAATTTAATCTACTTTTTGCATCGTACTATGTTAAAAAAAATGGATCAGCACTAATGTTCAATTTTGGTGGTAGAAAGTAGAAATTAATTATGACACTCACCATTAAAAACATAAGTGTAACACCCCTTTATGACAGTGTCAAAATACTTTGGGCTGCATGTATACCTTTGATAAGTATAGTTGTGTGTGTATTTTCTTTTAATTAGGCCAATGCCTAAGAAGTGGAAACCCTAGCTAGGTGTGGTCAGTTAAGAAACTGAGCCATAAATATAATAATAAGTGTATAAAGTATCATGGCAGATACTTGAGATATTATAAATATCATTGAGATGTGTCAGCTCAGGTAGATAACAAAGGACTGCTGAGAAAACATTACTGGAAGGGAAGTAAGGAAACTTGCCCTGTAAGTACAGTGTGTTTCAAAAAAAAGGGCGCGCACAAAAAATTGCATATCTTAACAATTATGCAAGATAAACAAATAAATTAGATTCATTTAAAAGCCTATCGAATACTTTATTAAATAAATGAAAATTAATAAGAAATTCTATTTCCGTTTTTTTCTAATACCAATTCACATCTCCGTTTCATAGACATAATAATATTTTTGACCGTATCCTGTGGAATTTTCTCCCACTCCTCAACCATAGATCTCTTTAATTCGTCAACATTCTTTGGCATTCTTTTTTCGACATTATTTTTCATGATATACCACATGTTCTCAATGGGATTAAAGTCAGGACTATTGGATGGCCAGTCTATTGGACGAATTCTTTTTTCATCAATAAAAGTTTTTGCACGTCAAAAAATAAAGAAAAGACAATATGATAAATACATATAGGAGTTGCTTATCATATAAGCGAGATATCCAATCATTTTTCATCATGTGAAAAATTTTTTATTCATCTCAAAATTTTCAAAATGAATTTACATTGTGCGCGCCCTTTTTTTTGAAACACACTGTAAATAAATAGCTTGAGCACTATTAGTGAGAGAGAGTAATTAAGATTACATAATTGGATACTGCCATAAAGCAAAATAAATATTATTTTAACCAAATCTAAGAGATTTGTGTAAGACGTGAATTTTGATCTCACACCATTAATTAATGAGGAAAAAGAGAAATCATTAAATTCTGGCAGCCATCTCTGGTCTGGGTGCTGTAAAAGAAGATTAGTAAAATGTCATTGATGATTGATGCAATCTTGGTAAACTCCAGAGCTTTGCACCCCCCTGAAAATTCAGTTGCATTATTGTATCATCAGGAGCACCATGGTCATATTAGCCTTTGTACACAAGGAATGACTGTAAAGTATTCAAGGCAATGTGCATGCTTCAATGCCTGCCAATTTCTGATAATTGCATATTTGAAGTGTTTCTTTTTCAATAGTGTGTTGCCTTGACATCTTGCAGTTAAATAATAGTAATATTATTATTAATGATTATGAAAAGCAAAATACCAAATGTTCATTTGTTATCATCTTGATGAGATTCTTAATAAATACCCAGCAAGATCTGCTCCACATTTTGATTTCAATAATATATATTTATAAACTAAAAGACACATTATATCAAAAAAAGTAAAAATATATATACTGTATATCAATACAAACAAAAAATAGTACCTCTGGTTAGTTATTAATAGTCTTTTTTAGGAGACTCACATTTTGTCATCTTGGACTCTGTCAAAAAACAGATTGGTTTTCCAAAAAAAAAAACCCCCAATTACCATCAGTAATACATCCATAAATTTTAATATGTAAAGTTGTAATATTTGCATAAAAAATTATGTAATATTTACACCCAATGTAATAGTTGCATAATTTTTGTATGATTTTTGCATAATATTATGGAGTCTGCCATAAACTTACATAAATAGTTGGGGTGTCCCACATCATATGATTTACAAACATAGTTGATCGCATATGGGGCATGCTGCAACAAAACCAAACAAAGTGAACATTGGTACTATCAAGAATTTCAAGGATCAAATGAAAAAATTATTGATCACTAAAAATAGAGTTGTTTACATTCCAAGAAAATTCTTCACTTTAACAATGACAATATTGTAAAATGTAAATTTCACGAATTTCCAAATAAGGAAATAATAATTATTAATATTATTACAGTCTGGGATTTTACCATATCGGTATGTTGCTCTGCCAATCAATTCATATATGTTACAAATGAATTCACAAGATGTTACTTGTCATATCGAAGTCACATTTTTTTTAAAAAAAAATTAAATTCATAATTGAAATAAATAGTCCAAAACTTTCTTTTTCATAATCTGTTAATAATTTGTGATAATCTGTTGATTTGCTTAAAGTATGTTTCTATCAAAATCAGGGAAAATTTAAACGCGAGCATCGGGAAAGGCTGCAAGGGAATTATCTTTGTTAATTGATTCTTTGGAAAATTATTCAATATGTGAAAAACATTATAATCAGATTGTTGCTACTAACAATTCTTATCAGACTCTTTTAAATTCGAATATAAATAAAAATTCAGATATTCCTATTATTCAAAAAAAAAAGATCCCAGGAAATCAATAATTTGGAATTACACTCAAGTACCATTGACATTGTAGCAGGCGAAAATTATATTGGTGAGTCTAACATTACAGAGGAGCTTCAAAGAACAAGAGACATGCTAGAAATGAGTGAATCAGAACATCAAAAACAATCAATAATTATTTTGGATCTTAATAATAAAATCATGCAACTACAACAACAATTAAAAAATTATGAACATGAAGTATCAGAATTAAAAAAGAATTTAGATACTTCTTAAATCACATAGATGAAATTCAGAATCTATATGAAGAACAATTTAGCAAAAATAAATATCTCCTTGAACAATGGGATTCACATTTTAGCAATCAACAAAAACATATGGTGTGAGATCAAAATCTGCATCTCACACAAATCTACCTTATAGAAAATTTATGTACGGAATATGTACGGAATATGTACGGAACTGCGGATATGTAAGGAAAATACTTGTAAAATGTAAGGAAAAATGCAATTTTCCCTACATGAAAAAAATAAAAGGATGTAAGGAAAAATGCATTTTTCCTTACATTTTACAAGTATTTTCCTTACATATCCGCAGTTCCGTACATATTCCGTACATAAATTTTCTATAGGGCTATTGATTTGGTTAAAATAATATTTATGCTTTACTCTCAAAACTCTTTTATTATCATTAAACAATTTCTTGTACTAGGAAATACTAATCAATATCTTTTTTAGATTTTACACTATATATTCTGATCATGTTTCTTGGTGGGTGCCCTCCTAGCCATTTCCTCTTTGCCATATACCAAGTCAGGTACGTCTCTAAAACTACTAAATAAGGTTGATTATTTTACCTACTAAAAGAAAAGAAA